TCTCTCTCTCTCTCTCTCTCTCTCTCTCTCTCTCTCTCTCTCTCTCTCTAAAAGAAACACAAAGCTCATTGCAGCACTGCGTACTACTTAAATATCAGATCGGATAATGCTAAGGTTCGCATTAGACCTAATTAGAAAGAAAGAATAGCGGTGATGCATCGTATGCAATTGACCTGTTTAATGGCCATTTTTCCCCTATCATCTTGTCCAGCAAATGAAATGACTGATTTTTTTCGTGCAGAACCTTTGATCAAACACACAATCATCGCATATTACTTGGAATTTAATCGAATATAATAAATCAACGTGTCTCTTTCTTCGCGTGTGTAATAATGTGTAAATTTCTAAAATAAATAACAAAACACCAATCGCATTCACATGCATTCCAACAATGTAATTTATGAGCGTCCAAAACATCCATTAGAAGTCTTTTCTGAGAAGAGTTCAAAATCATCATATACAAATACACGTGATATCGAAATTAGAAATCCTTTCATTGCATTGTCAACGCCGCTCTTCGAGTGTAGGCATTTATAAATAGAAAAATGGAATGCTTACCAATTTTGCCGGTGAAATCACATTTTCGTCGTTTTTCATATTACTTCATGCATTGGAATTTATGATGTGCACAAATTTATGGCCTAATAAATGATAAATATAAGTTCGTTCTGGATAAATATTTACGGTGTAAAGCGGCTGCGTATGCCAATCAACGCCGAATCGTACATTGAATGTAGTATATTCATCGATGTCGGTGACAAAAACGTCGGCAAATTAAATTAAAGGAATGAGCACGCACAATGTGAAAAGTGGCTACATAAAAATTACATTCGATGAAACATGAGTAATCTTGAACAAATAAATAAAAACATATTTCTTCATCGAACAAAATGTGCTCGTTTAGGGTTTTGTTATCGAATTCACAAAATTCAAATATTACCTCATATCGAACGAATAAGACAAAAAATAACAACGGTTGCGGTATAAATTTCCGTTCAAATCAACACAACAAATTAGCCAAATTGTTTATCTTTCTTTTCCCCCTTTTCTTTTCTTTATACATATCTATTTATCTGACACTATGCAAACATGAAACAACGGCAACAAGACATTTTGGAGCGAAAAGATATTTTTGTTTGAACATCGTGGCGATTTCATCATTTTCAAAACGAACATGAATGATCGAATGAATTCGAAATTTAAAACTCCATTGATACGAATCGTTTGGCTCGTACTGCTATCCGCAGAAGCATCATCATCACAATTTCCACGGTTTGTTTTATTTAGATATTCTGTTTACACTTGTGAATTCTAACATGGTTATGATGAAATCATTTTTCTTCATTCAATTTAGAGTTTTTTTTCCCGGTTACACAATTTGACACTCTCGTTTCACCCAGAACACAATGCCAACCATAATTAATGACAACATACTAACTATTTGGACTAATTTCATGAAATATATTTCATTTGATTAAATTTTTCACTTTATCTAAATAGATAAATTAAACTTTATCTAAAGCCGATCTTCACATAGCATGTGTCAATAGCTTTGTTGGCGTTTGCAAATCAGTAAATTAAGGAGTTTTGAAATGAACGAATGAAAAAAGTTAATTCAATTGTCTCGTAAAGAATGCGTTAATTTAAATTTAATTTTGATCTATTTGTTTGACTTTGATCTAGAGAAGAAACGTGCTGTAGTCTGGAGCACTTTCTTTATCAAACGTGAACTGTTGCTTGTGTTACATATCAATCAACTGATGCACTGGTTTTGGATTGATCTGGGAACAATTTTAGGTGATTTCACTTGCAGTACTTGGCGTCTTGCACTCATGTTTACAAATAATAAACAGAAATCATTTGAAATAACAGATCGACCGTTATCTTAAATACAAAGCAAACAAACAACGTAAACATTACATTAACATTGACTTGGATACAGTTTTATAGTAAGATCGTGCAAACAGTAAACATTTGTGTATTTTTATTCACACGTAAATTTTTCGTGAAGCGACTTAAGTCACTTCCTAAACACCAGACGATAAGAATTCTAAGCCATCATAGAATTGAATTGCTTTGCCTTTGATGATTTATTCATCAGCAGAGTGTAGCAAATTCTCGGTTCTGTTTCTAAGCTTTGGGTTGAACGCGCGAAATAGAGAAGAGATAATAACAGTGTGTTTGGGCGGGCAATAATCATGTAATTATAATCATTATGCACGAATTATATTCGTAGACTTTTTGGCTTGAATCTTCAACAAAACTGATGTTCTTTTGTTTCTGCAAACGAAAATTAATTTTTTTTATCGGGAGAAAGAAACGTGAAAGATTTCCCAAGAAGGTAAATTCGTCATATATTGTTAAACTCTTGCTAATAAAATAACACGCACAAACACAAAAGCGATATGTAAATTGATGTGAACCATAAAATTATGTTGACATAGGCTTATAATATCAGAAGCTAAAGAAAAGGCCATTAATGAGCCACATTCAAATAAATTCGATTTAAATTCCACAGATCATGTGTCCAAATGTCATCAAATTGATCGATCATACTCTACATTTTTCATATTGATCGAATTGTGCACGCTTGAATCGCTGCTCATTGGGTCTTGTTTGACGTTTACCTTCAAAGTAGAAAGCGCAGCTCTCTAATTAATGATTAAACTTTAATCGTTGATCGTGTTATTCTGCGATTGTTTATACACTTCCGCGGCAACGATGGCTGAGATGGCGGCGGTAATACAAACGAATACATTCTTGGATCAAGGTGCGCGACGATTAAGACGCCAACGTGAATCAACGAGAAACAAAGAAGAAAATTATACATACAGATTGTTGTTTGTGTGCAACAAACTGATTTACATTTAGACAAGAAAAACACACATTTCTATCTCGAAAAAAATAATAATAAGCAGAAGCACACTGCCATTAACGTTATGATTACACACACACCACATAAAGTAAGCAAAATATATTTATGGCATTAATTAAGACAAATTATGCATTTTTTTCTTCTAAACATATTTTTTTAATTGATCCGTCTGACGTTGTTTGGTTTTAGAAGAAACAAAAAAAAAACAAAGGTGTGTATATTTGTCTATTTCACCGGTTTGGTTCTTTGGCAGCGTCAGAAGTGCGATGTTAAATTGTGAGAATTCACACATTTTCGTATGTGATTGGGCACGAAACGAGTGCGCTCCTCTCTCATTTTGATAATTTTACATCGTATTACATAAAACATTGGCATCGCAGAAAAAAAAGAAGAAAAAATGGATACATCATAGGCATTGCATGCCGTGTCATAATGATAGCGTTGACAGATTTAACGGAAGAACACACATTCTTTTGAATGAATTATGCGATTCTCTCTGTGTCTTTTTCTCTCTTTATTTTCTACAACAATTTCATCTGGTTCAAAGAAACGAAAGCAGTTCAGACTATTGATCATCTGTGAAACATTTATGAGATTTCATCAAATCGCACTGGCTTCAAATCCCATTCAAGTCAACCGTAACATTGTCATTTTTTATCAAAACTTTTCTATCCACGTTTTTATTTACGAACGTGTAAGAATGTTGATAGAATGTAAAGATAGATCATCATGGATTTGAAGTTCTTTTGAAGTGAAAAAAAACCATTTTATGCATCATATAAAAAACGATTTATAACTTGTAATTTGCTTATCAAGTCAAAAGCCCATTTGTTTCTCTTTTCATATCGAAAGAGAAACTGTAAAACGGATGCTGTTTCAACGAATTTCAGTCAATTCAATCAAAGTTTTTGAACTCATTTCCATTTTAATCACTTTTTCTTGACTATTAAACATGTTCGGGTTTTTTTTACTTTCTTTCACGTCAAAGTTCAGCGGTGTATCTCAATGTACATCTAAATTTGATTTGAAAATAATTGAATTCAAGTTGAATGTTTCCAGACAATCAAAGTTGGTTCAATACACTTGATTAATTACCTGACTTCTGATGGAGTCGGTAAATATTGTTAAATGGTTTTTTTTTGTTCCTTGACTCTTCGAAATGTTTTTTCTTACATGCCATTAAAAAATCCATTAAAATTTGTCATATTCCATATCGACCGATGCGGTTTAATGATGGTAGATGAATGAAATTCATGGCCTGTCTTTGATCGTTAGAGAATTTATCTGTCTGTAAATTTGCCGCTCTTTTCAAGAACAAGAAATTACTCTCGTCGCAGCAGAAACACATACACAAGTTTCGTAATAAAAAAAGTAGAGATATGTAACAGCGAAAGCCCTACCCATTGAAGCTATTTTGATCGAGAGGAACTTTATCGCGCACATAATGACTCTTTCCTGTTCAATGTTTTTTTTTCTACTTCGCACTATCTGTCTCTGCATCTAACTATTTCTATCTCAGCATGGCCGCTTCAGCAATTTCGTATATGCGAATACATTGCATTCGGTGAAATGAATTAGTATGAAAATTTATCGTGACACTTTTCTCACAAAACGTTCACCCATCTATTTTTGTTCGTTCGTAAAACATGTTTCATTGATGTTAATGGGAAATAATATTTTAATAACATGTGTTTAAAAAAAAAAGCTGTGTAACATTACCGGTTGCCCTTCATTCGAGAATAGATGTCAAAATGATACAAGTCGAGTTTGGGACGCTTGGAATTTCTAATTGAAAAAAAAAAGAAAAGTCATAAAAACCTAACTGAATACATTACCAGATCATTAATTTCTTCAAACAAGATGTTTTCCATCTTTTATGCTAAACAAGTAAAAACATAAACACATTTTGAACGTAAGTATAATGCGAATTGAGTTTTAACAGTTCCGTAAGTGAATATGATCGATGCCAGAGCTATGACTAGTGCCGCTATACGCCTATGCATCGACACTCATGTGCTCGTTTTTTCATTCATTAAATAATCACTTTTAATCGACTTATGCGACCGCTTATAAGACCGATTGCTCAACAAACAATCCAGCAATCGAAATGGCATTTGTTTAGTAATTACTGATTGGTTTTTCATTTTGATGTAAATATTGTCACATTACGTAGATTAATACAATCGAACTTCGTATCGGTATAAGATTATTGGGCAATTTAAAATGAACGCACCTTTCTTTATGGAAATCAAGTGAGCAGAGGATGATATTTAACTCGAGTTTTTTTCTCTCCTCCATCTCTCAATTGTAATTGAATAAATTTACCATTTTTGGTGTAAATCGTAAATGCTTTACGAGCGAAGAAGAAGAAAATGATGGAGAAAAAACAAATCTCTTCTTCGAATAAGCGGCTTTAACATCATATTTCAATATTTGCACATCATTTGGGTGGTATGTTCGTTTCTATTCATAAAAATAACGGCAGCAAACATTTCGAAAAAAAAAGCGAATGAAGTATTTACATATCACGAAAAAACGACGTCTTTCCATCAAATGTGGCCACATTAATTCTAACTGTTTTACAATTGGTCGATGTGTTATGACGACGAGTACAGTTTATTTGCAGTACATCATTTTGATGGCACATTGTAAATAAATTACCGTAATGTTAAAATTATTGGTATATTATCTAGCAGCAACGGCAGCAGTAATAGGCAGCATTTGAATGAAGTGAAAAGTATTTTTTTATCGATGTTTATCAAAATTAAGCGTTTCAATTGACAATGACAACGAAATTAATGCTTCTATCGCTGAAAAATATCAAGGAAATGCAATTGAAATAAAATGTAGATGCGACTAGCAGTAACCAACTGACCATTTACATACAACGTACTTTTGTTTTTGTTTTTTTCGGCCGAACGACATGCAAATGAAGCGTTACTGTGTATGCCGTGTCATCGGAGTAGGTTGGAAATCGCCATTTCACTGTTTGCATACTATTTATGAATAGAGATATGGACGAGGTGTTGAAAAAACCATTTAACTCGCTAAGTGGATTCAATTTATTTGATAGCAGCATATAATTTATTTATGCCATGGATTTATTGAGTGTTATCGAATTGAAAATTGAATGAAAAAAAAACACCAAAGAGTTAAATCGATGAGGTTGAAGATCGGCAATGAGAATCATGGTGCGCGTAAAGACATGAACATAGATATGATGTGTATTCAATTCTCGAATGTTGGTCAGGTCATGTGTACAATCAAATAGCTTAATACCATACCACTCTTTTGCACATTGGATTCTCTCTTGGGCAACCATTAACGAACCCGTTCGCAATCGAATACATTCGATTCATTTTGTCGGATTTAATCAACAACAGCCACGTACCGTTCTTTTGTCATTTTTTATTAACAGGCAAAACACACACAGAGAGAGAGAGAAAGATATGAATAAAGAGAGAGTGTGAGAGAGAGAATTTGATTTTATCGGCCTTTCCAATTTTGACCGAACGAAGTGTGGTGCGAATTACTTTTGCACGCTTTTCTAATGATCTATGGGAATAACCGATTTTGCATTAAATTTTTTTCGTAAATATGATGTGAAAATTAAATCAATGCAAAGCCTTAGGAAAATCACCGCCTAGAATTATATATTTTGAAATGTGATATTATAATGTATGAGAACGGAGAAAGGTGTAGCCGTTCGCGACATTCGATCTATTGCTTTCCAATGCGAATGTTTGTAATATAGACGCTGTGTTCACTAGGCCAGTGTAACTTAATCCTTCCGTAAGAACAATCGTTGTTCACGTACTCCGAACACGATATGAATGAAAATGTGCATCATGAATCCCCAGTTGTAAACAGGATCGTATGAACTGACGCAATTTCATTTAGAAAAATTCATTTGGTGTGTGGTACACATTTGAACATTAAAACATCTGTATTTTGTTTGGCCTGGTCTTAGGGCATATGCAAGAATATCATGCAAGAAAATTATAGCCTTGACGTCATTCACGTATGAAAATGCAAGAAAAAACTGAAATGAATAAGTAGTTTGTACTACCGATTTTCGACATGAGAATTGCAATAAATATATATAAATGAAAAACGGTAAATATGCTCGGATTGGGTCCAGCAGTTTTTCTGAATACAAATATTTGTTTCGTTTTATATTTTTGCAATAAAACCAATAACACTATTTCGATCACATCACCGATCATTATTAAACTGAAGCTAAATAGAGCTCGTCATATCCAGCGGCCAAGAGGGAAGAATGTTAAGTCGTTTGTTGTTTTATTAATTGGCTGAAATTATTTATGAAATTTTGATTCAGCATCGATGGGACCGACACGCATCATTAGTGATTACAAAAGAAAAAATCCCTATAAGAATTGGACATATTTTCTATTTTCTTTCTTTCTCTCGGCACGGGCAATTTGTAACTCAATTCCATTTCCCAAATCTAAACGAAGCAATTTCCGTCGATAAATAAAAATTAAAGTTGCTTTATTTGTCTGATATTTTGACCGGGCACGTTTTCTTCTTAATCGAAGAGTGCACGCTGGATGGGATCGTGTCTTTGCTTTCGGCACCCATCGACATCGATCTTTTTGTGTATGTGTGTGTGTGTGTTTCGGGTGAGTGTATGTATTTAAATTTATGTAACAATTTCGCAATGGTCTCTCTAACCATTTGAACCGTCGTCGACAATACACAAATGCACAAAGGCTGACAATGAGATATAGAAGAAAAGCAAAAAATATATATATAGTGTACACCACGTTTCACCGTAATTGAGAAGTTTCTCATGCACAGTCATTAGACGAAGCAAGCAAAAAAAAGAAACGCCGCCACAGAAACAATGTTTCACTTCGACCATAATCGTTTCTTTTTCTCTCTCGTTTCAATTCTTTTAGTTAACCTCAAATCGCTGGTCTTTTTCTCTCTCTGTCTTCATTTCATTTCATTTGGTCGGAGAATGTAGGTGAAAATGTCATCGGAAAGTCGGTTAAAAAGTGAATAAAAAGACACAATCGCAATGCGATTCGATTTCTTTGTCATCGTCATGCATCGACAGATCAATGGAAGTTGAGAGAACGCGCGCACACTCTATGGAAGAAAGCGCGACTGATGCAATCGATCATCGCCTTGTGCAAATGGCAATTGTGGACCAAAAATGAAAAACGACTTCAGAAATCAATTGATATTTTGTCGACTGTCAATAGAACACAAAACCCAAATCGATTCACTCTTTCTATCTTTTCTTGTTTGCCTTTTTTGCTCATTTTTTTCTCCAAATTAATATGAATTATGAAAAATGACCATTTAACCTCGGATTTTCTCAATTCGATCGATGCATTCTTTTCTCATTTTCAATTATAATTTTGCCATTGTCTTATTATGTGTGTGTCGTTGTCTCTGCATTCCCTTCACACGTATATTATTCGATCGATGCAATGAATTGAAAATTGGCTCTCGTTGCTTCATTGTGTATTTGGAGAGTGAGATCGAGCACTGACTCGATAGAATGGCCACAGAAACACATAACATTTCAAATGCACACGTATCGATGCCAATCGAATGATTTCAATTTATGGCGCGTTTAAGAGTTCTTCGTTCATTTCTTTCTTTCTATCTGTGCATCAAAACCACTTTGTTTGCTCGCAATGCAAGTTCGAATCGACAATATCTTGAGCAATCGACGGCTTTTTGATACTAAAGCAGAATAAAAGCAACCAATTCGATCATCATCATGAGCATCATTCTGCCTATAAAAACACACTGCAATGATAAGTGAAAACGCAGAACTTCATCGAAAAAGAATTAAGCGAATCAACTTGAAAATAAGATGTTGAAATGAGGGCTTTGGTTTTTTTTCTGCTTCTTTTTCGTCTCGACAAAAAAAAATGCTGTTTTTCTTACATATAAAATGCGTTCGATAAATTGAGCGGGGGGATTTTTGAAATGCATTCACCGATATTCTTCGTTAAAAATAAAACATCTGGTCTGAATTCACTTTTTATAATGCTTGAAATAGAAGAACTACAAAATTTATTGTGCTCACGTCTAAGAAAATGTTCTTGTTTATTCTGTGGCATACTTTTGGGTTTTGTAAAAGTTATTAAGATATTTCACGCACATCTTTCACAAATGCGCCAGTGATTTTCAATTAAGCCAAAGCAATTTCCATTCGGCTCAAGTGTGTTTAATTGTTGATCCTTTCGCAATTAACGGCAATAATTCAAATTTACCCAATCCGGATAAAAATATGTAGATTTATCAGCAGCTCATGCACAAGTGACGAAAATTGCACCGAATTAATTTCATATCTCATTTCATAACACAACATTCTATGTGGCTGGCACCAAAAATTTTCATCTTCTGGATACATGACCGCATTACAGTTTGTGGTATTTTAATTAAAAATTGGTGAAACACATGAAAAATGGCCATATTTCAAATGAACGAATAAATTTGTATTCCGTTTCCATCCATTTATCATCGATGCAGTCGTACGGCATTTTCGCTGCATTCATGAACCAACCATATTTCTTTTTCTTCCTTTTCATTCTGTCTTCATTGCATTTGCCCACTATATGAAACACTTGAGGTTCTCATATATGTTGTTGCCTTTTCGCCACACGTACATTATATTTTTAGAGGAAACAAAAACAACATGCACACACACACAAAAATGCGCAACGCGTGAGACATAGCACAAAAGCGAATTGTGCCATGTTTTCGTGATTTTATGAGTAGATTTTGTGAGTGAATAGAGC